TATAAAAAAAGGCACGCCAAGGACTTTTTGTGTAAGTTATAAATAATAATTTTTTTTAATATTATTGTATTTCTCTAATTATCTTATTTTTTATTTAATAATATATTACTAATTTTATAAAATTAAAAAATGATTAATCATTCGCACTTGACGAATGTACCCTCTTGATATCATTTCTTTTGTAAAGAGTATACCACATATGTTTATCAAAACCACATATGTTTATAAAAAAAATTAAAAAATAATTAATCATTCGCACTTGGCAAATATAACCTCTTGATATCTTTTCTTTTGTAGAGAGTATATAAAACTGTCTTATATTTCTTAATAGAGTATTTACGAAAGTACAATTGATCTGAATAAGATTGTTTTAATAATATTTTTTCCAAATATCTTTTGGCTAAGTTTTTGTTGTAATTTATTTATAACGATTTTTTTTGTAAAGTTTATTTATAACGGTTTTTTTGTAAAATTAATTTATGTTTTTTTTGTGATTTAATGCTAACGCGCGTGCACTTGGCTTCTTTTTTTACTTTTTACAACTAACTAGTACGTTACATGTAACATTATGTTCATTTGGAAGTATCCTCTAGGATACGTCAACTAGATCATATCATATTTATTTCTCTTGGACACTTTACACGAATATCTCCAATGGTTTCTCTGTCAGATATTTAAAGTATAATGTAATGACATATACAATATACACACTTTTCAAGTGAAGTTATTAAGATATACTCTGATATTTTATTATAATAAAATTTCACATTCCACTTAAATTTCACAAAATGTTTTAGGTGTATAATTATGATTATATATTAATGTATAAACCAAATGTATGTTATTAAAATTAATATATTATTCTTATATGAGTAAACTCTGTTACATATGATAAATACGTGACACAACATAAAAAATAAGTTAAAATAAAAAACAATCTAAAAAATCAATTGTACAATCATCATAACAATATATAATACTCACATTTATATACTACAATTATTTATAACTAACAGTTATATATTATTGTATATGTGTTTTACAATTTTATTTTAAACTTTATTTATATTTTACTTTCAGTTTTTTGTTTATGAAAAACACTAATCTCAACCTACAACTCACTGCGGCCTGTCAAAACAGAGAGCCAGAGAGCGCTGATAGTCATCAAATTTGTACTTGCGTTTGAATCAAAAGAACATCTAAACTAATGCAGAAATTCTTTGAAAAGACGAACAGACCTATGATCTAAAGACATTCTACATTCATTAAATTCTAACCATAGAACTACGTATCTACATTCATAACTAACATATATAACAATTATAATAGCAAAGTGATAAAACAATAACCAAGATAACTATGTTGTGTCCTTGTATCAAGTTAAAGTCAAACTGTTTCTAATAGTTTTGCTCACCGTGTTGCAATTGTTATGAGAACTTCTGTTTCATATATATATATATATATATATATATATATATATATATATATATATATATATGCCAATTAAATATTTAAATTTGCATAATTTCAGCCATATGAATAATCTAATATGTGCAACATATCAGAATTATAGTTTGTTTTAATCCATAATCTTAGTTTGTTGATTTTATTATTACTTTTCAATATAAAACATCTTCAAAGAATTTTTCTTTTTATAGTTAATTTTAATGTTGCAACTTCTTCAAAGCATCCATCAAGATTTGCACTTCTTGATTCAGGTTGTTTGTAAGAGTTTCCACTTGTTGTTTGCTATCGATGATGTTGATACTCTGCGTGTAAGGGTCGTATCTGACGCCGAAATTCCTTGGTATAGTTTGCGCGAATTTTCTAAAATAAGAAAAAAACATTGTTCGTCATTTGATAATCGTAGTTTGACATTTAGGCTCGGTGTATACAACCGGTTAATCAAAGATAGCAACACTTTCTTCGATGAGTTTTGTAACGTATCTTCAATACAGAATTTGTTTTTTTTTAATAATTCTTAGGAGACACGTTTTCCTATTGTATGTGGAATGCGTTGCAAAATTTTTGAGAAAAACTTTGTTGTTGCTATATTAAATCAGTCGATTGTACGAGCAATAATAAATTGTACGAGAGAGAATACTGCGTCGTATATCTAAAATTACGTAATATCTAAACAATATCAAATGAAGCAAAACACACGTACATACTCGTGTGATAAGAAGAATTGCAACTTGTTAAATAAAAATTAGGACATATCACACGTAAATATCACGAGCAAATATTTTCTTGACGTAAGTGATAAGACGATTTTGTTACGTCGTATTTATCTCTAATTGAATACTTACATCATCTTTTCCTTTGCGTCTTCAAAGTTTTCTGCAACGAAGTATACGGGTTGATATTCCGTTATCGGATATTTTTGCAACGCCGTCTTTGGCGGATCAAACGTCCGTAATTCTGGCTTGTCGCTTAAGCAATATTCTAACTCGCCGAAGGACGAAAGCAGACCGGCGCCGTATGCTTTCAATTTTCCATTTTGCAGACACAGTCCGAACTCCACCGTAAACCAAAAGCACTACGAAAACACGTTAAACTCATGAGCGAATTTAATTCGATATATCTTGATTGTCACTTTTCTTTTATCTCGAATAAGATCGCTCTCCTACTGAGAATCGATGTCATGACGGAGTCGACATCATAAATACAATATTAATAATACAAGTTATTTTTATAATGAATGGCGTAGCCATATGTCTATTTACAAGTTAAAGGACCAGCTGTGTAAACTAGCTAAGTGTGAACTAGCGAAATATTAATATAAAGCAACTTAAAATAGAATTAATAAGAATTGAATCACTAATGGTGTTTTGCCTTGAAATTGTATGTGATTCTAACTGAATAAAACATAAAATTTATTGCAATTTTTAAGATATTCTAATTCAGCAAGAAGAAAAATTTCAAGAATGTTACCGTGGCAAGTTTTTCTATGTAATCATCCGGAGCACCAAGAGACGCTAAACCGATGACCTGTGAGAATTGTGCAAAGGCCGGATCAGCGAAAAGCGGTACATGGCCTAAAACCTCGTGACATATGTCCGGTTCTGGCGTATAGAACGGTTTGCTGCTGTGTCGTATGTACTGCGTGCTGTGAAACACCCTGAAGGCCAGCCCGGCAAGAAAATCGCGCGAGGATAACAGCCCTGCTACGGGACGTAGCGTGAAACCGGTTGAATCTAAAAACGATTGACATGTTGAGAGCGGATTTCTATCACGAACGTCAATGTCGCGCGTTAGTAATTTTTATCAATTCTTTAGATCGAAAATTCTCCAGAATCGAATAGGATTAAAGTCGTCGAGTGATCCATACCAAAAGGACGGATTTTTTTCTATGTAACACGTAAAAGTAGACGAAGCGCGTTACCTTTCAAAAAGTTGGATATATCCTCGAGTTGAGGTATATTATCTTCACTATAACCACAGTTCTCGATAAGTAGCGGGAAAACATGATTATGCTCTCTGCAAGCGTATTTCGGGTAGAGTTTCGTTAATTTCTTGAAGACTATGCCCCATGTGGCTATTTCTTCGGGTGTGTATTTCACCTTCGGAATGGGTTGTCCGCTGAAATATGCCATAATGTATAGTAACTCTTAGAGATACATTTTTGGCTAAAATGTATCTATGTGTCGACTCACTGTTTGTAATGATAAGCGATATCGGCGAAATATTTTCTTCTTTTTCTGTACACGGGATCAGTGAAACCGGGATGATCGCTGTCGAGTTCTGCACCGTACGATAGAATCTGATTAGCAAACTTGTCAAGATCGCGTATTCTTCGTGGAAACCATGGTACTGTGTTCATATTGTCTTTATGATTCCTGAAAGTGAGTACAGTCGCAAGCTGACATTTGCGCTTTTCATTTTATCATCTCAGTTAAACTGATATCAGGAAGAAGATTTAGATGTATGCACGAGTACGCACGTCTTCTCAAATAGTGAATAATTACGCATCGAAGCGAATTTGTAATAATCAAGAGTAATCCTCGATGAATCGAGAGTGGGCAAATAAAATTCTTTTTTAATTGAAATATGTGTCAACTATATATCAATTATATGTCAAATATATATCAATTATTTGTCAATTATATGTCAATCATATGTTAATTAGAAGCTATATAATTATACACAATTATTGAACGTCAAGAATTTTTACCTAGAGATGATTGAAAAATAGCTGCACTGATTTCGTAGAGATTCAATCGCCGAAGCGATATCGCCACCCGGTGCGCACTCTACCATAAATTCGTAGCCATTTGATTGACGAAGAGAACTTCTAGACTCGATGTGTAAGAGATTCACTTTGTGTTTCTAAAAATAATACGCATATTTTGAGCATACGTCTTATGATATTCATTGCGAAGATTAACCGACAAAACGTTTAATTGCACTCACGGCGAAAAGTTGAAGATATCGCCCTAGCGAGCCAATCTCGTCCTCTTCCTTGGGGCCGAAAATCAAGCAGATACTTTTAGCCGAATCCCAGCCTTCTTTGATGTAATTCCCACCATGTATAAGTTTTGGCTAACAAATAATTCGTTTTAAAAATATTATGATGCTTCTCAAGTATCATTATTAGAATTGAAAATTAAAGTTAAAAATGTTCGCGTAATTCAGAAGATATTCTATCGGAAGCATTGATAATATTTTATTCGGTTCATCAATATTGATATTTTATTATTAATATTTCTTTTATTATTAATATGTAATTTTTATTATTAATATTATTAATTATACAGAAACTTATTTTCAACCGAAATGATTTACGTGTTTTATGCTGAAAAATTCACACATAGACATACCGGTGGTTCTGCAATGTCTGCCATCATATACGATTAGATATTTATGCGATCTTGAAAATACTCGAATATTGTATTACGCGTAACTTTGAAAAATGTGAAAGAAAAAATCGAACGCAAATAAAAGCTGAATCGTAAGATTGAACGGACGTGTCAAGACTGAATGTGATTAAACAATCTTTAGTCCTTATATACGCTCACTAAGATTCCCTCCCTGTTCCAGTCAGGATAAACTGTGTCATCGAAATTTCCTCATTTCAATCTTCTCACTTTACTACTTATTTTTGCATACACATTATTTCCTTATCTACTTTTCTATACATGTTACATCGGTTCAAATACACACATAGAATGACAAAACAACCGATAAAATTAGCTCAATATAAAAAAAAGACGTACTCCTTTAATATTGCAATTCGCGGGAGACTTTACATCAGTTTAATTCTAGAGAGCAATTTGGAAGTCAAGGCCAATTTGCTCGGTAACTCGTGCAACTCACTCGATAACTAAGAAGGAGTGCGTCATTGGTATAGCCATTATCCATGAGCGTCAGCTTGGAAAATAGTGAAATCATACGATCGATTCTTAAAGAAAAATGCTTAATCATAATAAACATTTCACTTGCTATACCGCTTTGGAATTCTTATTGCTTAATTTATCACGACTTAGCAATGTATTTGTCGTGGAAGAAATTTTTGCATTGTTATCCCACACAACACAACGTCTAAAATCGGGACATAACATGTCTTAAAGACGTCTTAGAGATCTCATATTCCGACGTCTGAGAGACTTCTTTAAGACGTCTTTTAGATGTCTTATATGTCTCGATTAGACGTTGTGTGGGATAAACTATTTATCTGTACATTCAATCAAGCGCATTATTGTATAAACTAATTAAATATAATAAGGATTAAATAATAATTTATAAAATATATTTTAATATAATTTAATAATCTATTAAATAATAATTTAATCATTTTCCATCATTAGTCGATCGATACAAAAAAGCCTTTTATAGATTTCGTCTAATGTTTTAAATAAAGTGTAAGCATAAAAACAAATTCAATAAATGGTAAATGTGTATAAACGTTGTTTAAATTCGTGAGTTTAATAATTGTTATAGGTGACATTGAGACTAATTATTTGTATATTGTAGGATCCAAGATGAGTTAATTTGGCAGTAGCGAGTCATGACGTTATCTATTTGTATTTACTTATTTACCGCAAAAGTGTATTGTCGCGTTCAAAAGAAGTCGGGAGCGATGAGTTGTGCGTGCTCGCGAAAAAACATACCGCGTAAGATATGTTATGAAATGTAGAGATGTTATAGAGATGTAGATATGTGCACGTAGAGATGTTATAATCCGACGTTTAAATCGAACCAATAAGGAGCGAACAATAAGGAGCAGAAAATCAAAAGGTTTAACAATAAAAGGCGCAGAGAGGGTACGATGAAGGAGCTCTCTCTTTTTATCTCTTGCTCGGGTCTCTCTGGTCGGTCTCCGCGGAAAATTTGACGTATCCCGATATACGAAATATATATATATATATATATATATATATATATATATATATATATATATATATATATAT